CAGCAATCGAAAATATTTTATTCTATAATAAATAGATTTTGTATAAAAAATATTATTTTTAGAAATGTCTTGTATTGTTTTAATTATTTATATGCTAGTTTATCTTGTATGCATAATATAATAAATGACAAAATATGAAATTCAGAATAATTGTTCAAAGTGAGCAAATTTTAAAAATAATATATTAATATAAAACCCGGGCCGGGCAAAAGCGGGCCGAAGACCCACAAATTAAGGGGTATGGGGGCTTTGCCCCCCTCCCCGATATAACTTTTTTTAGTTGGGCTCCCTGAGATTATAAAAGCTAGCGAAGCTCCTGCTACAATCAAAATTTAGAAAAAATATAAGATGATGATTATTATGTCATTGAAATTTATTTAATGATTATAATAATCTAATTATATTAATTAAAATAAATGATCTGTATTAGTCTCGGCATTTTCATTGTTATACCATTTTATAAAATTTTTTAATATTTGTCTATCTAATATTTAAAATAAAATATTAAGCCATGCTAGAATTTATATCAATATAAGTTTAAATTAAAATTGTGAAGAATAGAAAAGATTACCCTTCTTGTACCTTAAATTTAAATTAATGCTAAAAAAAATACTAGTAATTTACATTGAAAAGAAAAACAACGAAAAAAGCAGAGTTGTACAAAAGATCTTCTTTGAAGATTTTTGAGCGAGATCTAGCTCAAAAATTTGAGCAAGATCTTTGAAGATCGTAAAATTTGAAGATCTTTTATTTTTTAAAAATTTTGTGTAACGATCTTCAAAGTAGATCTTTGAAGATCGCTGCGATCAACGATCTTCAAAAATCTTCATGATATTTATTTTTTTACCCCTTTATTAAAAGCCCAGATGTTTTTCAATTTTCATCAAGGCAGGAGGAGAGGTATAAAACATAAAAGAAATATTATATTAATAAAATTGAAAAACATCTGGGCTTTTAATAAAGGGGTAAAAAAATAAATATCATGAAGATCTTTGAAGATCGTTACACAAAATTTTTAAAAAATAAAAGATCTTCAAATTTTACGATCTTCATTGAGCAAATGTACAACTCTGGAAAAAAGTACTCTATTTATTTCAACACGATGAGCTCATGTCCAAATGAGAGTATTATAGTGTTCTATATCAAATTTTTTTGCAAAATGTATTTTTTTCTGATAAAATTAATCAGTTAGTTTTGTATTCTTCCTTATCTAATAAAATTGAAAATATAATATAGAATAATTATTTGTTTGAATTACGACGTGTTCTCCTATACTAAAATATAAGGAATATATATTATTTTAAATGTCTCCTGAAAAATTATAAAAAAGGGATATAACTTCATTTATTTTTCCGGTCAAAGATAAATTACGCTAGGTCTAGCAAATTAAATATTTGAATTAAAATTTTTTATTTTTATTTATATGAAATTTTGAAAGATTTTAACTAATTAGAAAAAATGAAATATGTTATTGTTTTGATATATGAATTACCCATTTTTTAATATAAAAAATATGAAATTAAAGTGCCGTGTAAATCTATTTTTTGCTATTTGCTTAATATTTAAGTTGTCTGGGTTACTAGTTATATACCTTTAAATAGATTATTCTGTTCTGTCTGGGAAGGGCAGAAAAATTTAAGTCCCCAAGATTTAACCTCAAAATTAGTTTCTAATAGCTTGTTATAGAATAAAAACAACTAAAATAAAATATATTGCCACCCCCTCCCCCAGATACACTTTTGACCTATCAGCTGAAACCATGTTATGGGCCTATAATAAACTCAAGAAACAATCAAATATCTATCGAAATAATATTTATATTCTATGATAGTTAACCTTGGCTCTATTTCCAAAAATTCTAGTTCTAGTGCGTTCTATAAGCTTTTGCAATAAACCCTCTTAAGCTACTTCACTTAAACCAAAGGCCCTAAATAAAAATTCTAAAAGTTAATTTCATATGTATATCTTCCCTCTATATTTTCTTTCATTAGTGTAAATTAAATATATTTCGTTTTTAATATTTTATTTAATTTTTATACAAATTCATATTGGTTTTTAATGTTTTTATTGATGCAAAATAACAAAGTTTATCTATGTATTTTAAATAATGGATTATTATTTTTTTATCTTGTTATTTTTTAATCATTCGATATAAGGTTGTTAGTATTATTCTTTATATACAGGGTTTAGTACTAGACAAAAATTTTTTTTTATTTGTAATAATATAAACATAATTTCATCTATTAATGTCAACATTAGGTAGGATTGCAAAGCCTCTAAAATTGAAGGGGTTGGCCGCTTCATATTACAAAGCTATGGTTTCTATTGGACTCGTTTTATCCGGAGTGTCAGGTTGCGTATATTGGTATTACACTGGCCACAAAGCAAAATTGGAATATTCTGCATTTTATGAGTTTATTATTCTATTTTAACATATAATATTTATATAATTAGAAATTATAATCCAGATAGGGATTACATTAGAATGAGAGAAGCTGGTGTATTTCGAAGCGTACCCCCTCAAGGACATTTTAAAATGAAGATTGAAGAATAATTGAGTTAAAAATTTGTCAACAATAATTTAAATTAATATATATTTTTGGATGGTCATGTTTAAATACTGTAAAATTAAAAACTTGATGTCAATTTTATCTTATATTTTGGCACTTCTGTATAAGAATAGTATTTTGCCTATCTATAAAACAGTATTTATTCTTTAAGGTTATATGATCATATAATTTATTTAACTCTTATTCTTGCAAAATGGGCTGAAACTATATATGTACTTTTATTTAGATTATAACTTAAAGTTCAATGGTAATATACAACAAATAATGATAATATTTTAATTACAAGAGGGCATATTGATTTCTTTAATGAATATCTAAATCATTACTACACAAAATTTTATAAAATAATTCATAAGAATTGGGGAAAATTATGCTAACTATTATCTTTTTGAATAATTAAATTAATATAATATACTAACCTTTTATTCATGTTTATGAAAAAGGTTTGGACCTCTATTTGCCAAATCTTGAGGGTTGCATAATATTGGCTAAAATCTTAATTGGGCTATTTAATTAAGTAATCGTGATTATCAAACAGTGACAGTTTACTTTGAGCCTACTAATGATGCAAATCATAATCTTAGTGATAGGCAGTTATTATAATCTCAGGCAACCATGGAGCATGAATTATATGGTGAAAGTCTTGGTAAAACATAAAATCATCTAAAAATAAAAAGGCTAAATTAATATATATAAACTGAATGTAAATAATTTAATTCCACAATATTCTCTTTCTTCAGAAGCAACTAAATTTATCTTATCCAGTACAAATAATAAATAATGGAATTTACTATTTTGATTTGTATAATGATGATTATTCGTGTGAAGTAGTAGTGTCAATAGGAGGCACAGGGCCTAGAGCCCCCTAAAAAATTTGAAAATTTTTTAATGCCCAAAATGTTAACTAAAAGGTACTTTTGAAAATAATTTTTTAATATTTTTTTTGAGCCCTCTGATATTCTAAAGGCTAGTGAAGACCTTGGATTAAAAGCACATAAATTGAAGTTTAATATTTTATTTTGTAAAAAGCATTCAGAAGGGGGGGGGGTGGCAAAATCTCTAATATATGAGTTTAGTACAGAGAATGCAATATGATAGATTATTTCATTGTAATATTATATCAGAAAGCCAATTTGTTGTGCATTATGCAAAAAAATACATATGAAAGGAATGCAAAAAGATATGGTGCAAATTAGAGGTCCGCAATGAGTGAGTTTTTAGCCAAAAAGGCCGCCCAATCATTCTTTTAAATTTTTTAACCCGCCCACCCGTTTATAGCTTGAACCCACTTAATAGTTATTTTAAAAATATTCACCCATCCACTATAAATTTGTTTAACCCGCTTAATGTTTAAAAATTATTTTAATGACTGGTATGCCTCTTTATTCATTTTAATGTATTTTTCATTAAACATATAATATGCCAAATAAGACTATCATTTTTAATAAATTTGAAGTCAGCTATGTTTTCACCTGCAAAATATTAAAAATTTGCCCCAAACCTGCTCATTACTTAAAATTTTTTCTAACCCATCTGCCTCACCAAATGCACCTGACCACACTCGCTCAAAATATGAGCCGTCTAAAAACCCGCCCATTGTAGACCTCTGTGAATCCACGTGAAACTTGCTTTTAATAGTTAAAAAAAATTATATAATTAACATTTTATTTAATATTGTTTGAATTTTTTTTCAATCCTGTGTAATTGTAACATGTTTTGGTGTTCCTATAAAGGTACAATTATTTTCTAGAGCACTAATACTAAAAATATTTAAAAAAAATACGATTAAGAAATTTTTTTAATAAGTTCGATAAAAACGGGTTAAGGCATGATTGCCCTAAATTTACTAAAGCTTTACTACATAAGTTTTTTAGTAATTTTTAAGAATTAAGGTACAACAAAAAAAAATACCGTTGCAACAGCTGATTTATTAAAAATTTTTATTCGTCTATTTATAATCACAGATTTGACAAGTTATAACTAAGAGAGATTAATTTTTATTAAAAATCATTTTTAAAATTAATCCTAACCCATATCTCTGATCTTTATTCCAACTGTTTATTTTCAGATACTGGCTTTAAATAAAATTACATCCAGTTAAAAAAATTTCCTTCAGCTAAACATCCCTTGAGTTAAACTATCATCATTTATTTTATAAAAAAAATTCAAGTGATTGCCAGCCATAGAATGGCAATTATTTTAAACCTGATTTAACCTTTTTATTAAATTTAGATTCTCCCATATCTGTAATAACACATGGATTTGACCTCCAAAAGTGAAAATATCCCCTTCCCGTAACCCCGAATGTTTACTTAAATGTTTTATATAGCCAGCCAATGCTATACGTTAACTATTTATGTAATGTAGTAATCGTTATAGTAGTTAAATAATTATCTTTTTTATTATATGACAAAATAGGGTATTGCAGAGATAATTATTAATTACATTCTTTTTTTAAAATAAATATTATATAAAAAAATATATATGTGCACATAAAAGATAAAATTTTTTCTAAATATAAATGTTTTGTTTCCCTTGGTTTCCTCGAATTAAACTCTTAAAAAGTTCAACCTCTTTGAGCAAATCATCCATTATTTTGGAAGGGTTCAAAATTTTGATCAGTTTAAGTTGGGAGGATAAATAATATACGAAGGTAAACCTCGTTTATCCAAAAATTCATTGTCAGTTATCGTTTTGCCATGTTGGTGAATAATAATATAAATATATTGCCCATAATAAAATCATTATTATGTATAAGGATTTGTGATCATTAAAATATATTAAATTTTTTTTATCATTGAGTATAAATACGCGTTGTGCTGTGACTCGTGAAAAAAAGGAGTAATATATTCGTTTCAAAAAAAAGCTATGCAATTTGTTCAAGGTTTGTCAAGGTTCTAAACATTGGCTTATAGCTTCGTTGAAAATGTTATTCCAATATGCAGCTAAAACGGGATTCTTAAATTTGAGGCTGCACATGGGCCCGTAATAAGTTGAAGCATTTGGCGCGTTTCTTAAATAGTTTTTCAACCATACCGACGAAGCATCGTATTTTAGAGTACGCTTGAATAATATAAATTTTTTTTTTAAAAAAATGCATCATTTATGGTTCGTGAAGTGAATTAGATTCATTTTATAAATTTTCTTGTTATACTTTCTAAATTCATACTTTCCCCTTTCTTGCTTGTAGTTAAATTATATCTAGTTACACTCCTTACTTCATTTATTCCTAAAAAAGGAGAAGAATTTTTTTTTACCAAGATAGAATCTCGTTGATCTCCATCTTCATAACTATTGAGATCTTTCAAAAAAGCGTTCTCGTCGAAGGCGGATATAGAAACTATCGAACCCGGTTCATCTAAACACTCGGATTTGAGCTCGTACAAATGAAACACTTTGAATGGTAGGATACCGGGTTGGGGCAATTTAAAAAGGTAAAAATTTCCGGACGTCTCAAATCTACCAGATTTTTTAGGGAACTGATGATGACAACTCGAATGTGACGAGGAGAAGGCTGAGGGTAAAGTAAGAAGAACGAAGTAGTAGCCAATGAGATTTTGGGATCCGTGATTGGAGTTGCTCTGGGCACCGAATGCCGGTGGATCTTGGTCCGAATATAAGAAATCGCTGACTAGCTGGCATTTTTCTGGATCTAATTGGCAACCATTGCTGTTAAAATATAGAGATATATGCCGTTATTTCTTAATCGTTTTTTTTCTTTCTTGCAAGAGATTACTCCAAAAGAAAAGAATCAAATATATATTTAAAAAAAATCATTCTTACATTTCCAACCAGTGTTGTGCGATATCAAGGTTATTCTCGACATCACATTCGATCATATAAATGATAGGATTTCTCAAGAGAGTTTCCAAAGTATCACCCCCTATCAAACTTAGTATACCTTTAGGAGAGTATAAATGATATGAAAAAAATATATTAATTATGATCATAGGAGCTTGTTTTTAACCTTCCTCTCCATTGCCCACTCCATTCCCATTATTTAAAATTATTCCGGAATTTATTATATATAAACTTTGCGCGGAGGAAGCGAGAAATTCCGAAAATCCACCCAATGGCTTTATGATCGCCCCTATCAGACCCTTACCAACTCCGGTTACTAAAGATTTAGCGATTGGGGTTATAGTGCGGTTGTTATTGCCAATAATGTGTTGATGAATCAAGTACGGATCAGTATACGTGGCGGGACTTGATGATAAATCGAGTGTAGATTGCGCATAATTTGTTAAAGAGTTTGTTTTTAAAATGGATTGGAGTTCCTTGAACGGAACGTCAATTATACCCGCCAAGGCCGCTTTTATTGGATGGATAAACGTTTAAGATGGATGCAGTTCAGATATTTAAATTAAAAAATATTTGCCATTTAGATTAATTAATCAAAATAAGTTTATTTTCCATTCAATTTTTTTTCTTTCTTTTTTCCCTTTCTTTTTTTCTTTAAATAAATAAACCTATTATGCTGAACCCCAGCCCAGTAAACCCGTGGATTAAATCCCTCTTAGCTTTTCCCACCGACGTGGTGCCCAAATTAGAAAAGCCTTCCGGGTCTAGATTCGTAAGATGCCTGGAATATTTGGAGGAATTCTGGAAATTTGGCGTATGAGAAGAGAGATGATTAGGGGTCAAAATGCATTCTGACATTCTCCTATTGAGCCTCCTTTGGGTTTGGTATTCAATGTGATCCGAATCGAAGGATATGATGTCGAGGTTACGGCTTAAGCTTTGGCAAAAATTGACCATGGAAACAAGTAGGGCTTTACCAAAGGCATTTTTTTAAAAAAAATTAGAAAAAGAAAAAAATGAAATTTTTCGATTTAAAAATAAAGTTATTAATTAAATTAGTTTTTATTAAAAAATATATTTAAAAAAATCCATGTAAGATATAAAAACTGGACGGGGTATAAATGCTCCTATCAAAAATATTATCTTGTATTGTTGGATTTAAGTAAACAAATGTTATGCATCATTTCGAAGAATTTTGTTACACGTTGTTAAAGCCCTGATTATTTTAGTAGGAACGTTATCCGTCAATAACGAAACTTGATTTTGGTTTTTGGGCTGGTTGAATTCGCGACTAAAAGCGTCCTTTAAAGAGGTTACCAAGAAAGCTGGACTTCCTATCAAATCCAATGAACCTATTATCCATGCTATAAAAGAAAATAAAATAATTCACTATAGAGATGTGAAATGAGCTACCCGAAAGTACGTGGGCAAATTGGACAAAATATTTTTTCGAAACGGACCACTTGCGCAAAATACTTTTACGGGTCTGGTTAGAATTTCGTAAATTATTTTTTAAAGCGTAAGAATTCGGCAAAATTATATCTTTTAACTTGATAAAAAAAATATATGACGGGACAGGATAACAACTTATACAAAATTAGTTTTGCCGAAAAAACTTATCCGAAAATCTAGTGGTAAGTTCTGACCGATATCTAATTCATATCTTAAATCGTATATAAAACGACTTTTCAGATTTCTTTCTTTCATTATAAAAATATGCCATAATTAAAAATACCTGCATTTCCGTATAAATCTCGAGCGTAGCGTTTTGCGATCTGTTTTAAAACATCACGCGCGCACTCCCCCACATCTTTCCCACCGACGCTTCCGTAAACAAATTTGGTTAAAGAGAAAGGGGCATCTCTCGAGGAAGATAAATACAACCCGCCCAAGTGAAGGCGGAGCGTCAGCTCCAGGTATAGACGAGACACTTCAAAGCGTGAGATGATGGAGTAAGAAGTTGGGTCAAATAAATTACGCTTAAAAGAATGGTTATATAATTTATCAAAGTCAGGGTGATCACCACGGGAATAATTGGCGGGTATTTTGGATGGATAATCAGATAGATCATTTTCGAAATTCAAAAGATTCCTGGAACAATCCGTTGTTTTTCCAGTTTGATCGTTCGTTGGAAGGCGAAAATGGAACACTTGATGTTCAAGAGGAAATCGATCGTATTGCGAGAGGTAGGAGTTTGTGAAAGTTAGCCAAAATTTATCTTCCCAGGCTATGCTCAGTACGCCTGGAACATTTATGGTCACGAATTCGAAGGCCGTTACGTTAGAAGTGATGTTATCGACATTTTTAATGGTATCGCCATCTTCTGACCTTCGAGTAGGAAAGAAGTAATCGTAGCGGCAAAAGCTGCACTCCAAGGAGACATCAAAGTCGTTTTCAATATCATTCGCGTGAATCATATTCGTCTCCCCATCTTTGCCACGTCGGTCGGTTAAGTTATATTGCCTAGGGACGCTTTTCAAAATAACGGGAAACTCGAAGCCGTTAATATTTGAGCTATGACTCATTCCCTTATCGTCGGTCTCGAATAATTTATCCATTAAAACCGGTTTGCTATCTGGATCAATCATCGTCGCGCACAGGTTCAGGCAGGTGATGCTGTTGACTAGCAGTTTACCGCATAGTAGGCCATTTTGAACTATAAGACCCGACAGATTTATTTTTCCTCTTCGATGGGAACGGTCGACATCATATAAACTGCTAAGATTTCCGACACGTAGCACCAGAACTTCTCTCAAATTGTAATAACAATAAGGGGAATAAGTACCAATAGTATTTAATCTGATGGGAGGTTGTTGCTCTACCAAACACAACTCGAGAGAGTTCGCTTTAAATGAAACACTGTAGGAAGGGCGTGAATCGGAAAATTTAGTTCCTAACTCTTTGGATAAATTAGGAAAAGGAGGCTCAACGTTGGGAGAGATGTATGATACGTAAAGGCGGGAACATGGAAAAGAAAAGTCTAAGTTGACGGCAACGGAACCGATAGAACGAGGTGATAAGTGCAAAAGGTCGAATGTTTTCGGAACAGGTAATGTTTCGCGTCTAGCGGGTGATAGGATCAATGGATCTTCGTTTAAAAAAAATTGATATTTTATTATACGCATATGCGACCTTAGTTAATTTTAAGTTTGATCGTAAAATGTTTCATGAGGGAAACTTAGATTATTTAAAAAATAATAACTAAAGCATTTTCTAGCTAAGATAAAAAATATGTTGATCATAAGCTACTAAGTTCATAAATAGGTCAAAAATGTTTATATAGTAACTTTGGATTAGAGAGAAAGTCAGTCACTTAAGGAGTCCTCTGATATCATCTTCATTCCATTATCTAAGTTGAGTGGCATGTCTACGTATCATCTTGTTTTCCATTTGCCTATCATACGATATGGCTGTTTCCGCATTTCTTTCTTTACATTAATTCAGCAGATCTTAATGACACAATATAAAATACATCGTACTACAAATCACCAACAGAGATAATTTTTGGTAGAAAACTATGAAGCATCGGAAGTAGATTATTAAGATATAATTCAAAAAGAAGAGTTGGAGATCAGAGTATATTATCATGATAGGAAAGACATGATACGAGTTAGTTATTTTATCAAGAAATCCGTATCAGGATAGATTACAGGGCACGAAACAGCTTACGACGTTAGAATGGGAGACAGGACTATAGGTAGACATGTCGCCTAAGAGAACGGATTGAAGACGATATCAAAGGTACGAAAAGGGGATCGCCATCCCTAAAGATTGACAATCAGGTGAGTGAAATGGAAACTTCAGATCGTTTCATTCATATAATCCTATATAAGTATTTAATATATTATGTGTTAAACTTTTTATTATTTTCTTAAAACATTATTTCCATGTCTATTTCTTCATTTTATTCTAATTTTCCTCGAATAATAAGATTACATTATTCGGTTCGGAACTTTTGAATACGAATAATTCATTAATCGCGATTGAAAAACCTGATGTCCAGCTCCATTTACCAGTATCGTTAATAGTTGCCTCGTTTTTGTGTTGTCGCACTTGCTGAAAACCGAACCAAAAAAAGTGTCGAGTATCGCGTAGCAACGTAGCCTCATTTTGTTGGGTCAAGGAGGAGAGATGAGAAGATAGGGGTTCGTAGCTCAAATAAGAAAAAGGAGTCACGTGAAAAATCTCATAAGCCATCTCTCCTCTCTTGGGTTTATTCGTTTCGAATGAATCAAGACTAGTGAAAAGGTTGAAAAGTAACTTGTTTAAGTTCGATGCTTTGTTTTTTATTTCCAAACAAAGAACAATAATTTGTTTTGTATAATATAATAATAAAACAATGTTGGTAGGGAATGTGAATGTTTACAAAATATTAATCCATTTATTATACCATTAGTGATCTGCATCGGGCCTAATTTTTCAAGCCCGGCTAGGCCCAAAATTTTTTTTATAAAGTTTTGCCCGGTCCGGCCCGAAATTTATTTTTTAAAATTTTACCGGCCCGACTCGGCCCAAACCCAAGTTTTTTTAAAAAATTTTTGCCGGCCAGACCCGGCCCGAATTTATTTAAATATAGAAATTAATTCTTACAAATTACTCAAAATAAACGATATATGTTATATGGCGTCTACTTTCTATAAATAAAATCACATATTTTTATTTTACATAAAAAATTCAACATAAAATTGATAAATTTAGATATATTTTAAAAAATTTTAAGGCCCGACCAGGCCAGGCCCGAATTTTCTTAAAAAATATGGGCCGGGCCTACTTTTGCAGATCTCTATACCAAATTATAATATCTTACATATATACTTTAGTATTGCTAAAAGTTAGTATAATATATATTATTTATTTTTTTTACCCTGCCTGAAAGGGTTAACATCTAAATTCAGGCTATGAAACACCATCAAACCCCAGTTGTTTTGGTTAAAAATTGTGTAAGGAATCAGAGGATCCCTAACGAGCGTAAAATATTGAACCGCACCCTTAAAAAGTCGCGACTTTGAAGAATTTTTTTTAGAATGAACAAGATGGGAGTTGAGAGGAGGTATGTCAGTAGAGATAATACATAAACCATGTCCCGCTAAATCGTCATCATTTAGCTCACCTAAAATGCGCTCTATTGAGCCGTCAGAGGTATCACTTAGATCGTCGGAAGGTTTAGATGAAATAGGTATAGGAAAGCTCACCCTTTTTCTAACCACGCGAGGTACATCGTCATCGATACAAAACGGTTCATCCAGATTGTAGGATTTGGTTAAATCGAATATTCTCACAGCTATCGCTCTGCCCATAAATATGGGTGCTAAATGGTTTACGCCGTTTCCTTCATTATCCAAGAATTTCGTGAGTTTTATCAACAAATCTACGCAGTTAATAAATCCGTGGCTGGAGTCGGTTGAATTTAGACCGTTATCTATCGAGTCGATTATTCCTAACTGGGCAGTAGCGTTGGGATATTTAAGATTCTATATATGTATTTTTTTTTAAATAGAGGTTTATACAATTGTTAAATAAGGCATAAGTATTTAGTATTTTTTATAATATTTAGATAAGTAAATGATTAGAAAATATTCTGTTGTAGTATGTGGTTAGTATACGGATATTAATAAATGTAAATACATAATCTCTAATTTCCCCCCAAAACTAACATATAATTCAACTATAAAAATGTTTTATAACTTTATCCCCCTGATGTGTGGTTAAAGCTACGTAAGAAACGGCCTCTATTTTAGTGTTGTCCAATAACTGGAAAGCGTTTTGCGTAATTAGGTGGGGTTTAATCAGAGCGCATTGCAATCCCAATAAATCGCTGGTTAGGTTATCCCTAAAATCATCGTGATTGTCGATAGTATTCGCCGACGGTGAATTCGAGCATTTTCGGGGTAAATCAGGATTACGAAAGAGGGGAACACCGAGCGTTAAGTTGAAGCGGTATTTACATTTTAAAGATATTAAACGAGTACCGCGGGATAATCGAGTCGAAACAAGCGTTAAATGATATACCTTTTATATTAATTAATGATTTGATAAAATCCTATCTCTTCTCTTCTCTCTTCTCTTCTCTTCTCTTCTCTTCTCTTCCTCTTCTCTTCTCTTCTCTTCTCTTCTCTTCTCTTCTCTTCTCCTCTATTCTCTTCTCTTTTTTTCTTTCATTCTTTCTTCCTATATATATTTTTTAAAAAAGCTTTGAAATAACCGCGTATACCTTATCCCCGTTCAAAAGAATTTCGAGGTGAGTAAATCCGTTGTTCCTCAAAACCCCCTTCACATTTTCGGACCCGCCCAAAGTTATTTTGCCTCCAATCTCCGACTCCTCTTCCTCGTTATCATTTAAACAAAGCATCAGGGAACCAGAAAAGTAGATGTGATCAGCTGATGGATCGGTGTGGGAGTCCCTATATCCGATTTTGAAGAAAGCACAATCCTATATATGCGGGCGATAAGTTATAAGGTTATAGGTAACTACGGAAGATTATTAAGATCAAGGTCTTACAAGCCCGGAACCCAAATAAAAAAAAATCCGGGCAGATCGGATTTCAAAAAATAAATTTTACTGCGGATGGGTACAATCTGACATTTTTTATAGTAATAATCGCGTCCTTTCAAAAATATAAATAATATTCGATATTTAAGCAAAATGGATTCAAAATTTTTTTGTGTTTTGGTTAGTATACCATTCCGGTTTCGGTTTCCCCGTCGACGACAATCGATAAGCACCGTTTCGCGGGAAGCTTCCGCATCGATCCAGAATAAGCGGAAAGAACGAACAAATCGGTGTCGGTATCGTTAATCATCAAGGTATCCGGACTCAAACGTAAATAAAGGAGGGGGAAAGGAAGAGAATAATCGCTTTTCACGTTGGCTTTCAAAATCAACTTGTGATCATTTTCCAACATGCTTTTAGCGCGTTCCATTCCAGAATTCAAGGAAAAAGGGTTTACGCCATTGTTGCTATACGAACTTTCCTTAGATGTTTCGTTGTTATTTCCGCTTCTCGAATCGTTACGAAGGATATCTTTGATCAGTATTTCGCTGCTGGCTTCCTTTTTGCCAATTCTCTCGTCGAAGCTTTGGATTTTATCGAAATAGAGGGAATGGCTCATCGAACATTGATAGGGTTCTGAAATCATGGAAAGAGACGACGGGGATGTGTACAGGGGGTAGCTTCGAGCCAAATCTCTTTTATCGTAGGTAAAAACGTATTAAATAATATATATATATAAAATAATTTAAATCAGAGCTATCACATCCAGAACCCAAAGAATTATCATCTTAAAATATAATTATGCTGGTTTTTTTGGCGAAAACTTGTAGGTCCATTTCTATTTCCGTTTTTATATTTTATTTATTAAATGATTATAAATAAAATATTTTGAAAAATTACTATCTATAACAATTGTCAATAACTTAAATTCAAAGTGGCGGGTTATAACTCTTAAACTAACCTATTAAGAAATTTGATAGTTCTTAAAAGTTACTTTAAAAAAATAAAATAAAACGTATTTACTTTGAAAATGAATAAATGTGCAAAATAAGACAAACCCTGATCGTGCGATCAAATCGTGAGGAGTCACCCACTCCAGGTACTCCTGGCATCGTTCTGGAAAGAAGGCATCGGAATTATAAGCATCGATGGGCAGAAATTTGTCTTTTCCCGATAGCGAAACCGGAAAAAGGCCCAAGATCCCCCCATTCAAAACTATTATAAATTGCGTAGCGAAACGCGAATTTCGGAATATAGGGTCGGCGTCGATCGTTTTGTCATTTCGTTCGTTATCGACAATAAGATCGTCAGGATCAAAGTGAGTATCGCAGAATATGTGCGAGGGCAGAGAAAATAAGGAGTTACCGTTGGGAATACTTTTTTTTAAAATAAAAAATAGATAGGAAGTTGCGGTATAATATAGCACATCGTATTCGATTGCGTCGCGTTTTTCCGCACGCTTTAGATGAATCAAATATTTTTACGCGAAAATCCTTGAAATTTTTTTTAAAAAGTAAATATTGTGATTTTCATATATAAAAAGTCTCTCAAGATAAAATCACATATTTTAATTTTCAAACTTTGAATATATAACTTTCGAACTATTTTAAGATTAGTTTTTTTTAAAGAATAAGCTAATCTTATTACTTTGTAAAAAGGTGTTTCTTTTTGTTGTTACTGTATAATAATAATAATATAAAAACCTTAGAGAAATCTCTAAGGTATGGGGTGAAGACGTTCCAAGATTATTTTTCTTCCCACACTGACTATTCGTGATTTTCTCTGGGTCGATCGAATAAACCGGTATTAATGGAAAAGAATCCGGCCAACCTACTTCCTCCCAACCACATTCCCGGGTATCGTTCTCTTCTTTGGCCAAATCATGGGTGGAATTAGGCGCTTTATCCTTTATTCACATTATTCATTAATTTTTTTTAAATAGGATCGTGTTCCTTTCATTTTTGGGGAGTTCCTTCTTTCTTTATTTATTACCGTTTTCGTTCTTTTTCTTAAAAATTTTTAACTCATAAAATTTATATTTATGATTGAAATGTTTCTCAGTCTCTCTCTTGAAAAAAAGAATTAATACCCGATAATACCTTTGAGCTCTCGTTTAAATATTCTATGGCTGGCCGGATATAAATTTTATCGCTAAAATTATGGCAGTCGGCGGTAGTTTGACTAGCGTCATAAGGAGTAGATCGGTCGTCTCCCCCGCTTTTGTGCGTGTTCAGAGCACTAGTGATAAAATTACGAAGCGGAAAATCTATAAGGAAAGGCGGTCCGAACGTTAAAAGGTGCAAATGGTATTTCGAATTCACGTTATAATGGGATAAGATAGTTAATGACACGTGACGAGAAATAGCCCCGTGAGTGGTCAAATGTAAAATTCGCGTCATTTTCCCGTTTCTAAAATTCGCATCTTTTTTTCAAGTTATTTCAATTTTTACAAAATTTTTCCGAATTTTATATATAAATTTTTTTTTTAACCAAAAAAAACTGGGAAAAGTTGTTCGGATATTTTTTCTAAAAAAATATGCAAATCAAAGATCAGAACTAGAGGTAAGGCAATGGATGGGTTATAACCGGAAAGCCAGCCCAGTTTTTTTAATAATTAGCCGCCCCACCCAGCCCATTCATCCGCGCACAACGTTCTAAAAATTATTTTTATTTTATCTTAATGTATTTCTTTTACTTTAGACTTAGAAAATATGAAATAATAAATATGATTTGTTAATAAATAAGAGTCTCCGCTCTCACCTGCCCATTGTTTAAAATTCTTTGTGGGTGGGGCGGGCTATAAGTCCACCCATTGTAGACCTCTATCCGGAACCTTAAAAAACCGAAATCAAGACATCGGAAGATTTTTAAAAAAAACCGATTCTAGCCTAATTAATTTATTACTACACTTATAAATTGATTGGCAAATTAATTTACAAGCATAATGTTTTAATTATTTATTTATTTATTTTAAAATATTAAAAGGAACAAACCCGTTAAATGTACATTTTCCACTAATTCGCGATTACCCTTCGAATCGTTCGCGAATATATTAACGTAATTTTTCGTGACCATAACATCTTTCACGAGGGTAGAAACTACGCCATTAGGGTAACAAATCACAGAGTTCTCCAGTTTGTTGTCCGAATTCTCGCGGCAAGTGACGTTCTCGGCCGTAGCCGAAAAGTAGAGCTCGAATTTGAAGGGCGTGAAATTAGCGATCGTTGTATTCGAGAATATCATAATCTAAAAATTGTTAAAACGCGTAGGTATAAGCATTTTATTCATTGTAATTTATTTTTTTTGTGTCGTCCATTTTAACTTAATTACGTTTTTTTAACGAAAGCGTTTCATTTGTGTCAAAGTAACCCCCCCCCCCCAACATGCACTTTTTAAACTCAAGGAAGTCACTGAAATATTTTATTCTTAATCTTTTTCCTTCCTTGAATTCTGAATAGCTGTCCAAACAGAACGTTATACACAGGGTATCTTTTGCCACTATCATATGTCATAAATTATCGTATATAAAAAACGCCCCAAAAAAGGTGTCCAAGCTGATTTTATGAATATAAATCAAAACGAGATAGGAGGCAGCTTAACTAGATAAAACGACGTATTTATATTATTACAAATACTTTTTTTTAAAAAAATATATAATTCGGTATAAAATTTTAGATGAGAAGCCATGATATCACTCTTTTGTAATAGTAATTTTCCAGCGTATGTAAATTATTCTCTTTTTTTAACGCTGCGGAAAAGTAGTCGCAAAGGGGAAAAGATAGCTAAAATGACCTCTAACAATGGTATTTAAAAAAAAAAAATAATGACTCCATTTGCAATTTTATTATAGTATACCTTACCTGCGTTAGATTCTCGGTTAAGAATTTGGTTCGAAAGATAAAATGGGAATCGTTTTGAATGAAGGCTTCATCCGAAGAACTATCACTGGATTTCGTATTTCCCCGTGTACCATTATTATTTGTTGTGGCACGCACATTTCTAATGATCAAATTGGCGCGGACCCAGAGGGTTCGATCGTGGCTTATTAGCAAATCACTCTTTTCGTGACATCTGAAACAGTTATAAGAATAAATAATTTTTCCCATATATTTTGTTAGTGAAGAAGAAGAGTTTAATATTTGGCTAGAAACCCGGCCCGGGAACCGACCTTAAAATATTTCTTTTCGGTAACGGTCGGTGGGTGGGGAGGGGGAGAGAGCCTAGGTTTCTGATTAAAACAATACTAAAAAAAGAGAGAACTTATAAATATGTACGCGTATGAGATCGATGTATAGGCTCTTAATTTTTTTATCTTGGTTGTTGTGGCGTTGGCGGCATATAAGCATGGAGATCCATTGGCGCGAAGATTTTTGTCGGAGCCTACCAGTGAAGCATCGGGAGATTTGATCCATAAGGTCAAGGAAGAAAAGTTCGTAATGATAAGAGAGTAAGGAATGATAGATACCAATTTCGCTTGGTCCTGCCAATAATGATTTTAAAAATAAAATAAAATGGCGATATTACTCGTCTTTATTGTTGTTAAATGATTCCTTTTGAGCCGATTTTTAAAAACGGATAACTCAATATTTTATTAGGAAAATTATTACGCAAGCCTTAAGATTTTGCTCATAGGTGGCACAAAGGTTTGAACATCTATTAACGAAATCTCGAGGCTTAGACAATAATTATTCAGGTTAAAATATTGAGTTAACCCTTTTTAAAAATAGGCTCAAATCGAGCCGTTTAACAACACTACTCGTCTTATCCTAAATTATTTGAACAAGTTTTTATTTCGTTCCTTTCTCTTTCGCTTCTCTTTCTTTTATTTTTAGTGCTCGAATAATCACCAGTTATATGTTATTATCAAATAGAATTCTCGGTAACAAACATTATCACTACTTTACTGTACAGTTATCCTATCTAATAAAATGAAGTATATCCGTTATTACACTTCAAACACAAAACTGTGTGTTTTTCAACATTATTATTTGTCTTAAAATAAGATTATTATTTCTTATTTATGGTTAAATGGAAAGATTATTTTTACAAAACATAAAAATTTAATCGAGAGATAATAGGTAGCGGCGTCTTCGCGGAAGAGAAAAGCGTTTCAGCGCGTCAAATTGGAAAAATTTATTCGTGGAAAGTTTTCGATATTTGTAAGTGTTAAAAAAATCCGTTTTTTCTGGGAAAAAACCAACAAAATTTTCTGTTAAATTTCTTTTTTTTTTACAACTTGCAATCTATATGGAAAATAAAATCTACTAATATTTTATTTCAAATTTTTATTTATTCACAATTATCTTAAATATAATCTATGAATATTTTGTTGTTTTTGTCGCAAATTTTTTATTGACGCTTGCCAATGATTGGTGATTTATTAATTAAAAGTTAATCAGTCATGGTGACTTTGTGGTCTGCGCCTTTCGCCTAATTTTCTTATCATCATAACACAGTAATGTCATTTAATCGACGTGTAAAACCGTAAAATGACGCTACAGCTGACTCCTATGTATATTATTAAAAGCATTTAATACATAAATCGCCAATCTAGTAGTCTATACATATCATTCATTGTAACTAGCTCATTCCTATTAATGAATTTATTTTTCAATACGGCATATAACGTGATATCCAAAGAGCCATATGAGGTGTCCCGCCAAATCTTCCAAGCTTCCCAGTACCTCATGAGTGAGTGAAAAGCCTGAGGAGATAGGATAAACCTGACCGAAGGTTCGTGAGGTGTGTTCTGTTGGGATTGATTCTTTTTAAGGGAACCAGACGAAGAATTCATTACGTTAGTAGAAACGGCGATATCATCGCGACCGAACCCCGAGGAGTCAGAAGAGTAATTAAGCGCGAAGCCTTTGGATTCGAAGATCGGAAGCTTTTATATAGAATTTAAAATAAATAAATAGTTAAATTTTTATAATTCATGAAAAAATTTGGAAACGGCAAAAAATATATCCCCGAAATTTTAAAATGTTTTTCGAGTCGGGGGGAGGGGAGGTGGGGGGTGGCAACTTAAAATATTTTTGGTTCGGTCCGGAGTTAAAATTTACGAGCTGGGGTCAAAAAAATCTTCATGCGCTGATTCAGACCGATTTCTAATTCATATTTAACTGACAGCTCGAATTAAATATATGTTGAGAATTGAACTATAAATTGTATATTAAAATATAAACTCTTCTTCTTCTTCTTTGAATATTTATGGAGAAGTAATCATCGATTTAATTATTCAAAATTACCTTGTGGGTATTGTCGAAGGATCGAATGAAAACGTCAATTAAATCGATACTTATGTCACGGGAAACAAAGCCGTGTTTAAGGGTAGTATTTTTGCATTGAATTTCTAAAACGTCAATCTGTTCAGCAAGGCCTATATCTATAATACACAAATTTTTCAAGAAATTCTATAACTCTTTCTTTTTATTCTAATCCAATATTTTTATGAGATAATATAAGATCTTTTATAATTAAAAATAAATGGCTACCTTTCAAAAAACGTTCGCCTCGTTCAAACCCTAGATATTTATTGGACCAACGCTTGGGGTTTAAACTGTGATCCGCGAGGCTGAGGTTTAATCTTTCCACTGTAAAATCCATTTCGCTCCAATCGCTACAATTTTCATTTACGTTTAGGTATTCGCGAGATGTATTTAGCGTGAGCGGGTAAACGGAATCCAGGGTAAAACTACCAGCCAGTGCCAAGGGGGAAAGGGAATAACGCGTGAATTTTGGTTTGAAATCAGGCTCGCTAAACGTTGCGTGTAAAGAGATAATTTTAACAGATGCCTTCCAAATCTCAGCGTTAATGAGGTGCGATTCGCAAGAACCATTGTTGAGATCTATGAGCTGGCCACAATACAAAATGACTGGAGCAGAATGGCCGAAATCAATATTGTCGGTAACGCGTTGATGATGATGCGTGGTTAGAAAGCAGTGATTATCTTTGGCGTTGTGAGCTTTTGCTTGGGGGTATTGATGGTTGTTGATAAGCGAATCCGTTATATCGAATTCGACCCACGTTATATAATTTCCCTCACCACTACTATCACTATTCTTCCCGGGTAATTTAGGGATTCCGGAGGCAAAGTATTCTATTTTCAAGGTGATTGCCAAATTTCTGTCTCCCGTATCGATTTGAGTGGCAGCCATTTTTGACTGACTAGAAGATGTCAGTTTTTCGAGGGACGGAACGTCAAAATATTCCATGCAAAACGGTAGAGGATTTATTCGAACCTGATTTTAATTAAGATTAGAGCAAAATTTATACATATGATGATTATAAATATATGATTTTGAATGATGTAGAACAAAAGACCTTATAGCAATAAATTCACCCACCCCCCTTCCTATTGAACTCATATTCGAATTTTACACAATTTGAGCAAACCATTTTTTCTTATAATTCTCTAATCCCTTAAATATTTTGATTATTTTTATTTATTACTCTAGAGGACATTCCCGGCCTGGAACAGTTAATGTTATAAGACTCACCATTTTGGAAATAGCAGTTTGCTACACTACAACCAACTTTTATTAAAAAAATGTCATCAAAACCTATTTTTAATTTTATATTACTTAACCCCCCCCCCCCCCCTCTCCCTAAATGGCTTTCGCATCCGGTCTGCTACATATCTTAACTACAGTAGCACGAAAGGAAATGAGTTAACTTCAAGAAGCTTGCCGATTCTTCCTCGAACCCAGACCGAAGTTTAAAGTGATTCCTCAAAGGATTATATCGAACTAAGGTCACAAATTCTACTCGAAAACAACCATTTATTTTGCAAGAAAGAAAGAAAAGAAAATTAAATCCTGATTGGGCTTTACCCTTGAATTCTTATTCACCCGAATTCGGGGCTTAAATTTCAACCTCCTTCAGGGTTTCATAAAATTCAACTTCAAAAAAAAAATATTATTTTTTAAAATTGGTATATACCATAGACAAATATCTCGGTTCTGGATACCTCCAGCACATGCTAGATATTGCCTCTACCCTAGCGCCTCCATTTTCCGCGAAACCTTTTAAATCTTCATCGAAGACGATTTCTAAAACTTTAGGAGTCAACATCCTTTCGTCGACCGCATAATTGGTGGTATCATATGACTTATCGAGATCGCATTCACTTGATTCCTTCTTTTGAGCTTCTATTCATATTTTTAAAAAAATTGATACAATTTTATGAAAATTTTTCAGATTTTGATTGACATTATTATCTTTCTTTCTTTCTTCAGGGCATCATTATTTATTCCTCCTTTATTACCTCTTCATTTATCTATAAAAGCCATCTAGCTCCTTAATGCGGTAGAGTATTCGCATGACAGCAGGAGATATAAAAATTTCGGACAAAAAAAAAGGATATCAAAAAAACACCTGTTCTTTAATAAGGTAGTTTTACCATTAAATAACTAACTGAATGTTTTCAATAGTTTTTATCAAAAATTTTTTTGTCTCTCTTTCTTTTTATAGTGTGTTCCATGACATATAATAATACCTAGACTAACGATGCATTTATAATAATGCATATGAAAGCGTCGTTGAATGAAAATCAGCTGGACCCGCCATTTTGGTAACCCTTAGTAATTAATCTAATTTTAAAAACTAATATTAAATTGATATCTTGCCTCCTAATTATCTCGATGATAGGGCAATTCTTTAATAAAGTTTGCATCAGACATAGGAATACATTGGCCTCTAGTCCAAAATTTTTAATAATAATATGGGTAACCAAAATGGCGGCCCTAGCTGTTTTTCATCGAAGAGGTATTATTATATGTCATTGAGTGTGTTGGATGACCATTTTTTTTGTAAAAAAATAATGTAACCTTTGGTAATATAGCTGAAACCATTCTTTTCGTCCCTTAGATCATCCTTAAATTGGAATAAATCCGCCAAAATGTTTTTTGGGACTTGGGTTGGAATGGCGTTCTCTTTGCCCCGATCCAACAAATTATGAATTTCACCATAGCTTGAATTCGATTTAAGTTTTGCCACAAGAGTTTGCCACTATAACAAATAACAATATAATATTCTTCCCATTAATTTATTTTAATAATCGAGATGGAATCGATCACTAATTATGATTTACTCGCGGTATTTTTTTTTTCTTATAGTAATTTTAATCATTTATTATTTATCTAATTCTTTTCTGAAATAAAAGATTAACCTTTTCCTTGAAATTCAAATCATTCAATTAGAAAAGTAATCATGGCAAATTGATTTAAATTAACTAATAATAAGCAAATATTGTATGATCTTAAGGCAATTTATCTATTTACATCTCTCAAAATTATATTTTTGGTCGCAAATGACTATCCCGTTTAAAAAAAGTTATACTAGTCGTACAAAGAGAGATATGCATTGATACCCTGCTCAGTTAAGTCCGATTTCGGTCCATCCGAAGGCTGGATAGATGATTGAACTTTTCGAACAAGCCCCGGACCCTTAACATATGGGTCTCTACTCTAATAATAAATTACTTGTTTCAAGGCCTTGGTCAAAACTTTGTGTAATCCTTTCAATACAGCGTAATGTTCCTGGCCAAATTTAAAGTCGGCTCTTCCAACGGATAACCTAATCTTCGCTCTACAACCTTCTTCCATTCCGTCATTTCCTCGGATCACATTTTGCGGTGGATTTAATATTACTCTGCTAACGTGCTTTGGCTTGTAATTTAATTTACTTTTCCCGGTTCCTACTGAGTCATCGTAGATAAAATTTATTTTATCAACGTTATAATGATGAGTATTGTCGAGGAATTTGGCGGAATCATCATCCGTAGTTTCAAGTGATAGAGGATCGCGATCAGCGAAAAAGATAGGAATATCCTGAGGTCTCATCCTTTGACAGCTTAAATTGGATACCAGGGCGAAAAGTTTCAAATTTCTAAGGGGCGTTGACTGTTGTTGCAACGTAGGACAGGACATTGAGGTCGAGATCTTTAAGAGAGCGACGCGTAACGTGGATATGTTTAGCGAGCTAAAAACTAAAAAAAAATTTATAATAATTTTATAAATAATTTAAGGACATCAATACCTCTAACGAGAAAAGGGATCTTCGATATATGTATACATATAGCAAGAAATTATGTCAAATAAATTCAAAAAAATTATTCAGAAAATCGAAGTGAAATCGGTATTTATAATAATCAGGTGACGATAATATTACATTCATATTGTAAATGACGCCCAATACTTTTTAACGCCGCGGGTTCGATCCTATTGCCGGAAAATCGCATATGGAATAGCGTTACGGATACGAAATCGAACCCCGAATTTATGGATTTGGGAATTGTTTTCGCGGGAGCGTAGTCGCGCTTTGAAAAGGAGAACACCAAATCTATTCTTTCAACCGATACATCGAGTTTATTGGGAAGGGTCGTGACATTAAATTGATCGTTTGACGATTGCATTTCGTAAAAGTTCGACAAAGGGTACAATTGAGGGATCAGTGAGATTGCGCAGTTCGATATGGTGTCTAAGGCAAACGAGTCGATATTTATTTTGAGTGGAGAGTTGATTTGCGCGGTTAAATGATGAGCGGAATCCGTTGATATTCGGTAATCGAAACTTAAGGCGAAAGGTGAAGAAAAAACGTCAGAGTGGTCCCCTTTTGGGTTCATGGAAATGCGGGAGTCTCCTCTCACCTGACAATTTAGCAAAGGAATGGTGTTCAACACCAAGGTCAAACGTTCACACGTGATCCGAGTAAATTTCTTGGAAGAATTAAGGTTTAAGTTTTCGATGTCTAGATGGAAGGATGCTTGAGTATTATCAAGTGACGTTGCCGGTACTGGTAGTTGCAAATAAAAATTTGGAACGAATACCTTGTAGATTAGTTTTGGTCTGGGCTTAGTCTAGTTTTAATAAATATTAATAAAGTGCGGGTGACATGGAGAAATCGCGATTAAGGCTACATTCCTAGCTGATGTGCAATAACAGATTATCGTGTTTATAAAATCCTCTTAACGAAATGTTTTTTAGAAAAATCGAACGGCCACACTCGTTAAAATTTTTTATAAACTAAATCAGCTGTGTGTCTGATAATAGCGCCCACTCTGAATCGACCTATTTTATAGAAGAAAACAACTCGCCGCCTAAGAATTAGAATATTCTATCTTCATATTTTTGTAATTTTATAGAAAGAGCAATTTAAAAAAAAATGAAGTTTATATTGTTTTCAATATTTTATAAATATTTTGTATTTTTTAATGCAAATGAAAATAGTAAAATTATAAAAAAAAATTGATTTAGGACACAACCTTATGTAAAAAATCATTTTTTGACAAAAAGTAGATATAGAATAAATAACCTAATTCTCAGACGACGAACTGTTATAATTATTAGGCACTTTAATTTTGATGCCCTTATTTTATATTTATTATCAAAAAACATATCGTTAAAAAATGAGAACTCCCCAAATAAATTATTTATGAAAGTGAACATAATTGTTAAAAATCGCATTATTTTTACTCTATATATATATATTATATCAGAGACCTGCAGGTCCGGCCAGAATACACGGGCTAGGCAGGCTTGAAAATTTTTTTAAAAAAATATCCGGGCCGTGCCCAAATATTTGAAATAGCCATTATTAGCGATGAAAATCAAAAATAAATATAATATATTTTTAAAAAATCCGGACCGGGCCGTGAATTGTACCTCTGCAAGTCTCTAATATATATATATCAAAATAAATTCCTAACTAATACATCTGCACTGCATTATTTAAAATCACAATTTATCTATTTAGTATTAATGAGATATAAAAACATTTTTTTCTATTAAAGATAACCAATGAAATAAATAAATAAATAATAATAATATTAACACACAAGGCTTAGTAATTATTGGCGATAATAACATCACGTTGAGGTTTATCAGTATCTCATCAATAAATATAAAATATCAACTTAACTTGATTTTATTTAATCTTTTCCATAACTATAATAACTAAAAACTTAAAAAAGTTAAATCAAAACACACTGATTTTAAATTACCTTTTCGCTGATGTCCGGCCTGATACCTATAAGATAAACCTCGAACGGCACACAATTAAAAAGGGTATTTTGTTCTATGAATCGCGTTTCATCGCCGTTATCCGACAAACAATCAGATAAAGCTCTCGAAATATCCACGAGGAGAGTGTAACATTCCAATAAAGCACGCGTCTGCCCATCCAAGATTACCAAGAACGTGGATGGATTAAGATTGGCATTATCAATGGACCGGGAGTCGCCGCGTTTGATATCCACGTTATCGCTTAAAAATTCAGTATGACCGCAAACAGCGCTTAAGAAGTATTCCAAATATTCCGTATCTTTGGGGTATTTTGAGTAACGGGTGATCGATGTAAGATTAAGTCTTAGAACATTCAAACTTAGCACGAGTGACGATGAGGATTCCAGTCTATTAAAACGAGAATTGGAATGGTAAAATGCGGAGACACGGATATCCTTGACCGTCATTTCGAGATCAATATCCCCGTTACTATTGTAAGCGAATTTATCAATCAGCCGGGAAGCCACTTTCAATGAAGATATTTCGAGGTCGATTCCGATAGGTACGTCGCTAGAAATATTTTCATGGACAGTTTTATTCGAGAAAACATCGGGTTCTTGCAAATTGTGGTGCACAGATAAATTTAAAGCGAAACCTGTCTCCATATCGATTTTTTCTACCAACAACTCGTGGCCCCAAAAGTGGAGAAGATTCGGATTGTTATCGATTACGACGTTCCGTTTGACAAGACGAAATTCGCGAGGATTCGCCATCTTGTTAGCTGCAACACACCGCAATTGCCTAAATAGCATCGGTAAACAGATGTTCACGGATAGCAATTTGCGCGTCTTGATTATTAATTCGTAATACGTGGATGTATCACGTTTCTGTAGAGGTTTGCCCAAGGTCTTGACGCGCTTGATAATAGACAATTCCAACAGATTGCGATTCTTATCTTTAGAACTATTCACCGAAGATGCTAAAGTATGGTTCGCACGTCTGATATATAAAACGAAATGAATGATAAAATACTGAAATAATTTAACTTGATGAATTTATCTTATAAGGTGATATCTTAAAGTTTAATTTCTTTCGTTCTTTCAACTTTGGCATGCATCATAAAACTTTATTTGTATACTCTTTTTCGTTGCAAGAGCTCGAATAATGAATCCAAAAATCTCCGACTTTCATATCAATTGATCGATAATGGTTAACGCGAACGAAAACGGCTGTTCCGTGCAGTATCGACGCATCAATGCGATCAAATACGCGAGTTTTCAGATTTAGAGTGAACCCGGGAATGTTGAGCTCCCAGTTAAATACATCTGGTTTTGATTGTCCTAAAAAATCTATATTTTAAAAAAAAATTAAGTTAAACTAGACGAATTTTTTATATCTTTATTTAGGCTGTGACCTAAATATATTTAAAAATCAAAATAAAATTTTAGTAACTTTATAAAATCGGTGAAACATGACCAAAATCTTTCATTAAAATTTTTTAAAAAGTTTTGTAAATTTTGAAATTTATAATTCCTCCTACTAAATTATTTTATACTTTCCATTTTGATTAATATAACTTAACTGCCCATTTCTTATTATAATTTGAAAAATATAAATTAATATCACTTACTTCTTTACTTTTCCGTAAAAATTTCACAACTATAAACTCTATGCTAAAATTAAATATGATTAATTTATCTAATTTTAAAAAATTACTAAATTTTCGTAAATTCGAAAAAATAATTTAGACCACTATTTTATTTGTACATAAAAAAATAGCTTATTTCTCTTTTTTCGTTAAAGTTAATAAATTTAATAAATTATATTTTTGATATTTAGGTGCTAAGGTCACAACCTTAAAGATAATATTATCAATCAATAAAATATCAATACAGTAATTAATTAATTTACCTAATTTTGTATCATTAGTGACGTAATTAGTTTTGTCCCCAGGTAATGAACGGTGTAACGCCGATTTAAAATTTAGACAAAAATCACGAAACATATCAACCGCCCAATACATAGAGTGAATCTTTATTTTAATTTTTTTTATTTAGGATTATTATTAAAATTAACACTTTTTAATATAATTTTTTAACCATAAAAATCTAAATCACATCTGTCATATTTAACAAATTATTAATAAGAATATGGTTGAATTTTATTAAAAAACCATTTATAATATATATTAACCCCAACAACTCTTATCCCTCAAACCATCAATTAAACCGACTTGATATCTCTCTAACCTATAATCCCTTACATTGTTTAACCTTAAATACATTTCATCCAATTAAAAAAATGTCCCCTGAGATATTTCATCCAATAAAAAAATGCCCCATTTTATGAACCCAAGCAATTTTTCCAAACTTAAAATTTAGGATCTCTTTGGTAAGTTTGTTGATTCCCGTTATATGGACCAGAATATTTAAAAACAGGAGTAGTCCTTAGAGCGTAAAAAAATGCGCGGTATATTAAAAAAGGTTTTCAAGAGAAAAAACGCCTTATGAGAGGAAAGGAGGATCAGGATATCACCCAATTTGATAAGAGTCTCAAGTGTTGAATCCAGAAAGGTACAAACAGCTGAGTTACCTCCAACCGGTGATCCTAAGTGAATTAGTTAATCATGATTAATGACTTTACAATTGTGGGAGTTAATTTCTGGAACTGTTTAGTTGAGTGAATTTTGATTGGCTTTGATTGAGAATTAATCCTAAAGAATAGCCGATCTCTAAAATTATATCGATCGCTTTATTGATCTCATTGGATGAGCTTAAGATTATACCATCATCCATGTACCAAACATGAAGAGCGAATAAAAATTTGCTATCCCCCCTCCCTTATTGGCGCAATATCTTAAAGGTTAAATTTATTATGAGTAGAGGCGGGAGCTAGGCAAAAACAAAACTCAAGGCGATTTTTTCTTTTCCTAAAAATAAACTATTAGATATTAGAGGCAAAGTTATGTTCCCCTTCTTCAGTGAAACAAAAAACGGATGAATGTAGAAGAAAAAGATTTTGAAGGCGTTTGTTCCATTTCTTCATTCCGGGAGGAATTTGTGTCCTGCTTATTGGAAATTGATAATAAGTATTAGAGGTTTGGGAAACCCAACCAGTGAGTTGGGTCAAACATTATTTCATACCTGTCGGGTCATTTTGTCTTTTGCAGGTCTCTACTACCTCAATAATATATATTCTTTCATTATAATGGATAAATTTGTAAATTTTGAGATGAGTTAACTTTACTAATAACCATTTTTATAATTAAAAAAAGTTGCCATAGTTGGGATCTATAAGTAGTTGCTAAACGGCTCGATTTGAGCCAATTTTTAAAAACGGCCAACTTAATATTTTGCCCAGGAATATCTTACGCAAGCCCTAAAATTTTGCTCAAAGATTGCACAAAAGGTTTGAACATCTGTTACCCCCCCCCCCCCCCCTCACCCGCCCCCTACTTCCCCGAACAAAATATATTTTCAAATATACCTTATCTAAATAGATGTTCATTTCTAAATGTCGATCAAACACGCAGGAAATATTTAGTGCATCGCGGTCGCATGTAAGAGTGGCTTTAAATACACAAGGTAATAGCAACCCATCATTTTCGGTCTCGATCTGGCTTTCCGGAATTATAGATGATTGGCATACACATTTGATTGTAAAGGATAAATTTGCGAGGTATTTGAGACCCGAAACTGACAATTATTACGAAGAATATAAAAGAGAATAAAGTTATTTTAAAATTTAATTTACAGTCGCTAAATATTTTAAGGGTGGAGCCAAAATATCTTTGCCTCTAGTCAGAGTCAGGCAGCACCGCGAATATTTGTACCTATGATTATCTTGCAGTTTGTATCTTGACATTTCAAATAAGATACTTATAAATGTATCTATGATATTTCATTTTCGAAATGATCTTCTATCTTATCTTTGTCCCTTCTTCCTTGATGAAAGATACCGATATTTTTTGGGGAATTATATTTATCTAAAAAATAATAATTTTGCCTAACTCGTTGTTTATTTCTTTCCTTCCTATCTTTATATTTAATCAATATTAAGGATTATTTATCTTATATGCAAATTATGCAAATTATATAATTAATGTTTATTTTTGGTTTAATTATAGTTATACAAATAATATAGTTAAGTATTATCAGAATATTTTAGTATATAGTCGTTAAAATATCAATCATGTTTGTTTACTGTTTTTAGGTAATTTTTTTTATAAAAAAAAATCCTTTGAAAGATTAAAAATCTTTTGGAAGGTTAAGTCAAAAAAATAACATTAAGTTGACGACATCTATTGCGAAATTGGTGGCAATTTCGCTTAGAGCCAAGTCTTGTTAATTGTACAAAAAAATAAATATGCAGTAAACCTGTCTAATTTGGACACCGCTGATAGCAAGATTTTTTTTAATCAAACTTAAATAGTTGCCAAATATATCAAGGCTAAGTAAATAGGAATTTGATTTGTGACACAAACATTTTGTCAAATTAAAAAGTTTCCCGAATTATCAAGAGCCCAAATTAGACTAGTTATATATATTTTTTAAACACATATGGTGATTTCCATATCAAATCAACCAAGGTTTTGCGCTACTTTAACAAAACTGGCAGCTACCCAATAAAAAAAAACTTTATTAACCTCTACAATCATGAAAATGATTTTGGGATAAAGGCAGAGTGGCATTTATTTGCAACCACACCTGGTAAAAGTTCCTGCGATATTTTCGGGAGCGTTACTAAACGGTTAGCAGCTCGACCGAGCTTGCAACGTTCATATGATCATATGTTGACAACAAAGAATTTATATTACGCAAGAATAATATCAGAGATATAAATTATGATGAATATCTAATTATGAAAAATCATCTTAAAAACAGGTTTTTGAAAGTATTTCTAGAACATAAAATTTTATACTTTTATTCCCCAAGAAGAAAATAAAATCAAAGTGAAAATTTATTCAAATTCTTTGGATGAATTAATATATGATATATTTCAAAATTTTTATATGATATAAAATTTTGATTGTATTGCAAGTTGTAATTATAGAAATTATTTTGCCACGAAATTTTAAGAGAAAACTTAAACAGTATGTTAAGTAAACCATATCCCCCCCCCCCCCACCTCTTAAATTATTTTTTTTTAAAATAATAAAGTTAGGGCTTTCATCATTAAATTTAAATGATATTTATGTTAAATTTTGCCATATAAAGGGTTATAACTCCTAGACCCAAGTTTAGCCAAGTCTATAATTTTATATAAATATAAGCAGACTGGTATACGTCTACAAAAAAAAATTTTGAAAAAAATATGTGTTTTTTTTCTATGGCCATTTTCGGTTTTGTACTTACGGTTTTTGGTGTTAATCGGGTTTCTATCAGATTTCTTTATATTGCTCTAACTTAATTTATTCTTGAGATATTTGAAAATTAATGAAGTGCATTTTGTTAAAAAATGTACCATTTTTCCTCTCTTTAAACATCCATATCTTAGCGAGTGAATGGTGTAAGGAGGTTAAATTTCATTTTTTTTCTTCTTAGTTATAGTATATACTACCAATATACAAAATTTAAAAAAAATTCTGAGGGGATCGTGTTGAAAATCGACCTTTTTTGGTTGATTTGACATGGAATTACCATATATATTATATTAATCTAAGGTCTCTATTTTTTATTTTTAAAGCCAATTGCATTAAATCCTAAGTAATAAAGTAAGAGTTAGGCGTTTTAATTAACCATTTATCTTTAAAACAGAAAAATGTATTTAAATTATGTGCTTTTATAAATAAGGGAAACATTAACTAAATACCTAAATAATTATTCAACAGGGATAGCTTCGATAGAGATAAAACGATATATTGATCGGCGACGGGCAAAGCTAAAGTAAACATAACGCAACCAAGACGAAGCTTAAATACATATGGTATATATTTAATATGAATGAATGAAAGAAAGAATATGGTTGTGCATATAATTTTTTGGAGCCTGCGTAACTGGGCCTTCAAAAAATTGATTTTTCGAGTTAGACCGTACCCACAGGTCTTAGAATTATTTTTTTAGAATAAAAATAACCAATCTTAATGATTTTATTTTTTAATAATTATTATTAAAAAAAATTATGTTAGTCTGGATAATCATATTTGTCATAATTTTATTTGATCACGTGAAAGCTTAATCTTCACTTTTTTTCAAAAATAAATAACTGGATCAAGTCCGCCGGAAAGATGGCCACCTTATAATCAGGGGGGGTCTCAGGTTCTAGCCAAGTTAGGGGAAAATTTATTATAATCACAGAAACAAATTAGCTATTAGATGCGGAATTGTCTTTCAGTGAAATATTAAACTGACAAGTGACAACATAGGACTTGCTAGAGCAGTGATGATGTATCTGTTACATTCTATCAGTACATGGAATAGGGGTAAGGGAGAGGCTAAGAGACTATTATCTAATTTGTTTCAGCAAAAAAGATAAAAATTTATCCGACTTGAAGTCAGAGGGTTTAAAAAAAATCCAACTTTAAATTCAACGTCCAAGAAGTGATCTAATAAACGCGTTTCCATTTTTGGCTTAGGATTTCGATTGCCCAGACGCCAATCTATAATGATGATGATTTATGAAAAAATAAAAAAAAATAACAATTTTTTCATTCATTTATTTTATTCAATGAAATTACGATTTTATATTTGATTTTTTCCCCCGTTATATACTTTTTAGTAGCCATAAAAAAGGTTGCGTGTTTATGAATTGTTTGAAAATATCGGATAGATACTGAGTATTCCAAAGAACAACGATATTCGCTATTTCGCAATTTAACGATTCTTAAAAGTTATATTTTTTTTTCCACTTCAAATTATGCCATTTATATGAGTAAATAATTAAGGATAATTAGAAATTATTTATATTCTTTTTTCCTTTCCTTTCCTTTCTTTTTTTTCTTCTTTCTTTCTCTCTATTAAAGTGAATACCAATAATTAGTGTTGTTAAACGGCTCGTTTTAAGTCGATTTTTGAAAACGGCTAACACAAAATTATAGCCAGGAAAATATTGCCTAAAGCATCGAGATCTTGCCAATAGATGTTCAATCCTATATTCCATCTATGAGCAAAATATTTAGGCTTGCATAATATTTTTCTGGATAAAATATTGAGTTAGCTGTTTTTAAAAATCGGCTCAAATTGAGCCGTTTAATAACATTACCAATAATATATAACATGAATTTCGTTAAAAAATACAATCAAAAAGAAACATTTTGCTCTCATCTTTAAAATGAATAATAATGATATCCCTTTTCCTTTTTAAAATATCTAACTAAAATAAACTAACCCTTTTGGTCAAAAAATTTCTCGTATTTAAGTTCTAAAGATTTCGAACTAAAATAAACTAACCATTTTGGTCAAAAAATTTCTCGTATTTAAGTTCTAAAGATTTCGAACCCGTTACACCGACTTCCGAAGTTTTTGAAAATGATTGACAGGGTGATTCAAGGCTACAAACGTGTAGAACTTTACATTCTAAAATGAATTATAATTATATATATAACTATCATTGACGTCATCTTATAAGCATTACCTCTGCACTCGTTGGAATCATTACGCATCAAATAATCCATCCCAAATTCTGTAAGAATACAATGGACCTTTTGGCTTTCATACGTTGCCAAATAAATATTACTTTTACGCTCCGCACTTGATGAAGCGTCGTGATTCGCATTACCGTATAAGTGTAATTTACAATTTATCCAATCCGATTTTAAATCCTTTAGCCTAAACGCCATTAAGTTTCCGCTAATCATGGTTCCGATTTCGAGAACAACGTCATCACTCAACATACTCCATGTTGTTTCAAAAAAATGAGCCACATTCGTGACACTCGTTGTTTCCCGGGTCAGCTGATATCCGATCAACAGTATCTTTAGATCACACCCATGAGAATCGCAATAAGTATCATTAACATGATTTGATGAACGAATCCCTTTTTCGAATACTTCCGCAATACCTTTCTTCGTAGGATCATCAGGATCTATTTTACCTTCGCTATCATTGTAACCATTCTTATATAAACCGGCACCGAAGTCATATGTGTTAAGTGTTATATCGGCTCGTTTTAAATCGAATTTCAGCTTTAGATTCTTGAGCTGAGGTAGAGGCACAACCGGTAACGAATATGGAGGGAAAAAGGGAGGTCGGCTATTTAGGGCCAGATAATTGGAATAAGCGCGAAAAATGAGCCGTTGAAATTGAGGTGCGAAGGTTATCGTTAAAGGGATCGGAAATGAAAAATCGTAAGAGGTGGTCTCGGCTAAATAAATATTAAAAAAAATAAAGAAGCGTTGAATTTGCGGGTGGTTGATAATCGAAGTATGCCAGACATAATCAACTTGTAATAATGAATGCTATGGCTAAAATATCTTTTCAAAATTTATCTTACTGGCCAATTTTTAGTTGAGAAATGCAGACGATAAAATCTAACATGTTAAGGAAAGATAACCATCTATACAAGTGTACAAAACAAATGATTAAATTATAATTGCATTCTAACTTATTTTTCTCTTCCCTATCTTCTTTATTCCATTATTTCTTTCTTTCTTTCTTTCTTTCTTTCTTTCTTTCTTTCTTTCTTTCTTTCTTTCTTTCTTTCTTTCTTTCTTTCTTTCTTTCTTTCTTCTTTAAAATTTAAAATGGAAAAGCTATGAAAGTAGAAATCGAGTATGGATATAACAAACGTGAATACGCGGTCTGGATATAAGACACGACGTAAAAAATTGCCCCACGAGGCCCGAATGAAAAATGTTTCTAAAATATCAATTAAAATGTAACTTTCTTCAATTATAATTGATAAGAACCCCTATTAAAAAATAAAATGAACTCATGTCCGCTCCATCGCCGCCATCTTTGTCCATATGAGAATCTCCATTGAACTCCCTATCAAACGATCGATAAGTAAAACGAAAAGATACATTTCTATCGAATTCATCAGCTATTTCGATGGGATGCCAGTCCCTTTTACAGAACTCAATCAATTCGCCAGTCGGGAAAGTGGCACTGTTTTGAACTAAAAAGAGAAATAGCACAGTAAAAGTTAATTAAAAAAATATACATTACTCTGTCTTCCTTAAGACGATTATAATTTATTGTCGATTAACCCATTTCAGGCGTGAATAATTTAAATCGGAGACCACTTTACAAAATATTAAAATTAGCTTAATACCCAGATGATCCTAATATTAAAATTTAAATATATATTTAAGCATTCTAATTTACCAACCCAAGTTATATATTATTTATATTTGAAGCACGAATTTATATTGTAATTTATTAATTTTTAAAAATAAAAATAAATAAATAAGATGAAGGTTCAGTCTAACCATGTTCTGTTATTTGTGATCTCTTTTTAAAAAAAAATTGCTATGCCTCCTGATATGATTAAGAGGATGTGGTAACCATATGGCCCGGATTTTATCTTTTTAGATCCAGCCCGAATTTTAAAAAAATATATATTTATTTTTTTTAAAATTTTTATAGCTAATAATTGCGATTTAAAATGTTCTGTTTTAAATTATACGGCCCGGCCTAGGTATATTAGCCTGGCCGGGCCAACAGGTCTCTGATGTATATATAGTACTAGATGGGCGATTCATTCATTTAAATGCATTTTAAAGTGTCCATACATAGGAGTCAGTTGCAGCGTCCTTTTGTGGCTTGCATGTCGCTTACATGACATTTACGTGCATCAATATTATAATAAATAAAGAAGATTAGTCGAAGTGCAAACCATAAAATGGTGCTACAGCTGAATATATGAACACTTTTAATTAATGAATTGTCAATCTAGTAGTAAATATATACACTACTCAAAATGAGCAAAAATCTTTTTTTTAAAAGAAGAAAGATTTTTGATCAAATTTTTTTACCTAAAAATGATAAAATCTTTTATATGTAAATATTTTATAATTTTCATGCATAAAAAAAAATTTTCGCGTAATTTTTTTCAAACTGTTATGGTATATTGGGAAAAACTGGATGAGCATTATGAAGACATCAGTGGCACAACTACAACAATGATGTATATATACTACTAGATTGACTATTCATTTATTAAATGTATCCACACATAGGAGTCAGCGGTAGCGCCATTTTGTGGTTTGCTTGCCGATTAAATGACATTAATGTTCATTCTTATTAAATAAAGACAATTAATAGACGTGCAAACCACAAAATGGCACTTATAGCCGATTCCTAAATGTGGACACTTTTAATAAAAGAATAGCCAATCTATTAGTCTATTTACATCAATGACTTACACCAACCAATAATAAATGTATGGGGAACAAGAGAGGAGGGAAGGTTTAATTTTTTTTAAAAATGATTTAAAAAAAACCCAAATTAAAATTTAACATAAAAAAATTTAAATAAAGATATATTTTTTGAAAAAAGTAAAATTGACAAGCAGGGATGGAGATCATTCGCCCAATACCTTATCCCCATATGACGTCATTTGGATCACATTGTTAAATGATTTTTCACGTCATCAATTCTCGCTTTAATAGTATCCTCAACTTAAAAAATAAATCGGAAGATCTAACAACCTTCAACATCGTTGGACATTGTTTTGAAAATTATCGATTGATTGTTATCTTCGATTAAACCAAAGTGAGCGTTCGATAAACTGGTTACGAGGCTGATACCCCGATTACCCATAGGAATACGTTGATACGGAGATATTTTATCTGACATTAGGGGGCGCAAGTTTTCGAAACGGACCACCATATTGTTAGCTTTGGCCGTTAGGTAAGGGACGCACTTGATCTTTACAGGATTAGGTTTGCTAATTATACATTTATTTAAAATTTTTATTAGAAAAATGGAAACATTGACAAATCCTAAAATTATGTTATATATATATATATATATAATTTACAAGGTTACTCTTATGTTATGACGAATGGAAAGAACTGGAGATGAGAATGGTTAGATGGATGTGTGGGCTAGATACAAAAGAGAGAAAAAAAATCAAGTAAGGAATTGCGAGAAAGAAGTGGAAGAAGATCTTGGAGTGGTGATGAGAGGAAATATACTGAAGTGGGTGGGGCATGTCGAGCGGGTAAAGAGAATGCACGTTGATGGAAGTAAGGGGAATCCAGGGCTCGAGAATGACACAGGATGGATAAAAGTGAGAACAGTCGATATGAGGAAAATGTATCTCACAAATAGTGAGACAACAAAAAAAAATGGAGAAAGGGAATCAGAGAAAATTGGCTTACCCAGGTAAACCTAAAAACCGTAATTAAACGGAGAGGAACGTAATGGTAGGAATTCAAGAATCGGAAAAAAATCGAACGCCAAGACTATCTCTTAAGCGAGAAAGGTAAGGTAAGAAGCGAATTGATTTATACAACAAAGCTAATAAATACCCAAGCATTTAAAGCCAGGGCTATAACTACGGAGGGGAGGGGGGGGGAATAGCCTCATTCCAAGATTATTATTTCTTCCCCTTTACCTAAAACGAAAATTTTTTGCCGATTTTGTATTAAAAAAAGGGCGAAAAAATTTACTATTCGTGATAATGAGGCGATTCTAAAATCGGTTTCCATATTCGAACCCGGGCGAATTTAATAAGATCGCCGGATCCTTTTTTAAAAAAATATAAATTAGAAGCTAACGTGTTTATTTCAGAAAGGCACAGCGTACGGATACTAATCCGATATCCGCCGGATAGTATTCGATTTTTTAAAAATGGATTTTATATAATCAATTTCGCTTTTTAAAAATTCAACGCGAAAATGAATAAACACAAAAGTAACTTTGCGACACATCATACAAAAAAAACTATGAAAATACGAATTGAAACTAATATTTGCCCTATTCGTAGTGTTGTTAAATTACCTAACTTTCACCATCTCTATCATGACTTAGTCGAGCTTTTAGACTAAAAAGTAGAATTAAGTCTCTAAGTTAAGTCTCAACTTGAAGATTGATTCTAATATTTTTGAATAAAAACATGGCTACACTATTTTATAGTTGACTAAAGTTAGCTAGTTTAACAACACTACCTATTCGCATTCGATTCATATTTTCGAATCGAATAATTAAAAATTCGCATTTGTTCGAATAAATAAAAATATTATTCGAGATTCGCCGAATATTCGATTCGAAAAATAAATTCCTTATAATATTTTTAAAAAAATGGATTATTCAAATTTTTTAAAAAAGATTTATAAATATGGAAAAAAAACGTTAAGATAAATAAAAAGTTCCGCAAGGAACATGTTAAATTAAAAAATCATTTCAAATATTCAAATATTTATTAATAATTTTGAATATTTACGAAATAATTTGATCGAATAATAAATAAAAAAAATTTATTTACTTTCCGTCTACGAATATTATTCATATAAAATTGAATCCAATTTTTGTATAATCATCACTAGATAAATAAATATTGAATCCTGTTGATTAATTTTTTTATTTATTATTGTTGATTTGAATTACCCTGGTAAACCTGGAAAAACGCTATTAAACGGATATCCGATACCGAACCCGGGAGGATAATTATTATAAAGACTAGAAACGGGTTCGGTTATAATTCATTATTTTCAAAATTAATATCGTAAATTAGCATATTATTAATTTTGGGCTAAATATAGAATCCAAAAGGAATATACCCCCTATCGGGTGTTTTTCCCCAGTAAAAAAAGAAAAATTATTGATCAAGGCGTATATATTTAATAAATAGAAACTATATTTTGAAAAAAAATACCTTTCAGTGGCTACATTTTGCACGCTAAAGGCTTTGAGCGTAAGCGTCAAGTTATCGACGGTGAATAACACTTTATGATCCCTCTTAACGTTGGAAACATTGAGGGCTATCTGTTTAACTTGCTCTTGGTTTTGACGATTAAACTGCTGCATCAATCTAGCCTCGTTGTTGGCAATTTCGTCGGTCGCGCCCTCTAAAGATGCTTCATTTTGGTCCTCGAGGAAAATGAAAGAGGCCCAGTCCATCCAATTACCGCCGCCGCTAATATTGGATTGATTATATGCAGCATAAGAGTGATCTGTAAAAAATAATTTAAGAAAACGGAAAAATCTAATATAATCTCTCTAAAAATTGGCGGGATTTTTATAGAGGCATTTCACAATTATTTACAAAAAAATTAATAAATGCCAAAAAGCTGGACATATTCCAAAAAAATTTATATATCTCTTGCTGGAAGAGGAGGGGGGAGGAACAAAAACCTTTCGAGTTAATGCTAAGCTGATCATCCGAGTCGTCTCCCGCTATTTCGTCTAGATCCCCTTTGATGACGGCTGTGCAAAGTTCTATGAGTCTAATCACCAAGGGTATTTGGTGATCCGAAAGCGATATATCCAGATCCTTGATGCCCACGTAAGTGGTTAGAGAGGGTCTAACGGAAACTTTATCGTAGGATAGGACGTCCTTGTAGCAAAAGAAAAGTGTTACGTCGCACTTTCGTACAATGGGATGATGGAAATTGTTAAGACCTGACAATGATGATTTTTTTTTACATAAAAATCAAATTTAATTTATAAATAACACACAACTTCTCTAACTATCTTCCCTAAGCCAATAATGCAATCTCCAAATGGTCCCTGTCTAAGATCATTGATGTGGGAATCTACTCCCCCTGGACCCATCTCCTCATTCAAACAATATAACTGTATGAGGTAACAAAAGGATGACAATATGTAGAAACAGGGGTACCAGATCTCACGATTTCAGATCTTAATTTTGTATCTCCCACCTTTTATCGCACCTTATCCTTCATTGGACATTTATTATAAACAAAACCATAGATAAGATATAATTGGTGTTATCTGATTAATACAAATATCTAAGGACATAAACTTCAGAAACTAAAACAACATTGGACTAAAAGTTCGCCAAAATTGGATATGGGGATTAAACCATAAATTATTATAAAAAGAGAACAAAACAAACACTTTTGAATAAAGGGACAATCATTAATACGAGTATTTATTTATATAAAATTAATAGATTTGAAAAATTAAATAAATAAATTATCAAAAAATTTGTAAATTTGTTTATTAAATTAACTTTGTAAAACACTAAATAAATTTATTACATCCAGCCTTTCTCTTACCATTAATAGAGGATTCTGTAACAAGTTAACATTTAAAATTTCTTGATTTTTCAGAGGGTTATTGTGATAAGAAAAAAAAGGAATATACATAAATACTGAAACAATTTAATAAGTATATACCCATTTTAAACACATCATAGAAATCAGCTCCTCCAAAGCCAGGCACCTTTATGTCTTTACCCACTTTATAGGGAATCTTATCAGTGTTCTTTGTAAGAATACAATCCAAGCTCAGCGAAAGATCATGAATTTGCAATATTTTGTCACGGCGCAATGTTGCACAAGGACTTGTTTCATTATCACTAGTTTCAATTGATGAGAAAAAACTGCCTGCAATGTGTTCCACCGAGGAATAAAAATTTGACTTAGGAAAACTAAAATCAAATCCCTCGTGGAGAGAAGTTGTCAAAGCAAAATTGCCATATTCTGCTCTCTTTATGTGAGAAGTGAAAACCAATTTGTACACTAATTTATCATCAGAGCTAAGATCGGAACTATGTTGTTTAAGCTCTTCACTGCCATAGTCATCACTAGATTCCACGTATTTAATTACGATATTGTTAAAATAATATTTAACATTGCCCAAGATATTTGACCACCAACTTTTGGTTGGTTTTACATTAAGATTGTTCATAAAATTATTAGGATAATTTTCATCTATGGTTTGTGAAACATTATCGTAAGGTGGAGACTGTTGATTTTGAAAATTATCAATGAAATCATTGTCCCTTAAACTATCTAATATGAGATTGTTAGAATGTAAGCCCTTATTCTTGATTACAGTGGGAGTATTAAAGTTGGGTGAAGGCTTATTTGGATTATCTGAGGATGATAAAAGAGGAGTATTGGTAAAAATATTTAACTGTGCATTGTCTTTGTTGTGCTCCAAAACTAATTTTTGAAATGAATCAAATAAATTTTTGATTTCTTCTTGTTTAAAAATATTATTGCTTATTTTATCAGGGTTGTCAAAATTATTCATGCCAGCTGAATTCAGTGCTTCATTTACAATTTGGGGTTCTATTGAATCTGAAATTTTAAAGGTAAACTCTAAGAGATTTAGACTGATTATGATTGAGTCAGTTGATAATGATGTATAGGGTATGCTAACAGTCAATTCATGAACATGCCCATTTAATAGTTTTATGGGGAAATTTATTTCCTAATTGTAAAAAAAGGTTTAATAATAAATATATTCATAAGCTAATTTCAACTAATATAAAAAGCTATAATTGTTAAATTATGGTAAAAAATTAGCAATATTGATATTCATATAAAAATACATTAAATACTAATTCAATTTAATTATTAAAATATTTACTCTCTGTAAAGCATCTAATTTTAGGTCCAAATTACTCAGCCTAACTTGGCCACCCAATAATGAGAACTTTACATCTTCTGGCTTCAGATTTTTAATATAATTATTTAGGTAAGAAAATAACCAAGGAGTAAGATATGATTCAAGTTTGAACATAATTTTTTACTAAAAACCACATTTCGCAACTATTGCGTGTATCATATGGAGACTATTACGACAAATGAACAATTTTTTTTAAAATAAACAGCTGTTAAGATTTGATATACATATATATATAACTCATTGAACCAATTACATTAATATTTACCTAAACAGACGATTCCTTAAAGTATATACATTAGAAGGGGTGTTAAAAAAAATTTACAGATAAAAATACACTATAAATATAAGTATTTAAGATACAGAACAATGATGCAAGTACAAGATAAATTTTCTAAAAGTTAAATAAGATAAAAGATATAGATATTTGATGAAAATATTTAAAAAATGTATCAAGATACAGATATTTCAATAAGATAATTTAAAAAATTGACATAATGTGAAACCTTATATTTTTGGACGTTGTGTTAAAAAATTTAAAAATAATTTAGCAAAACACTTTATTTATTTATATTCATTTTACCTTAATATGTTCACATAAGGTTTTTAATGAAGTATATCATAACTATGATTACTATATAAAAAAGATTCGCTTATAAATTTTATTAAAGCAATTTATTAGGCCAATAAAAACTTCTATAAAAAAATATCTAAAATATATTAAAAACTATTAAAAATATTCTTTTTTTATAATATAAATAATTTTTTTAAAAATTATCTATCAATCTAAGCCTATTTGGCCTTGATCAAAATTAAATTCAACAAATTGACATTTCATATCTAAATAAATTGATGAACATTTTTTATTTACTTCCTTAAAAATGGAATATCATAAGGTATTTCGATGCCAGATATAATTAGTGTTGTTAAACGACTCGTTTTGAGCCCATTTTTAAAAATGGTTAACGCAATATTTATCTAGAATAATATTACGCAAAGCCTGAAGATTTTGTTTTTAGAAGGAACAAAGGCTTGGATATCTATGAGCGAAATATCAAGGCTTAGGCAATATTTTTTTGCTGGCTAAAATATTAAATTAGCCGTTTTTAAGAATCAGCTCAAAACGAGATGTTTAACAACACTAACCTGATATAATCGCCATTTTTAAAGATTCTACAAACATTCTATTTTAAATAAAATTTTTATAATTTTGTTTATGGTATTATTATTATTATTATAATTGGCAATGACATATAATAATACCTAGACTAACGATTCATTCATTAAAAGTGTACATCAATACAAATTAGCTAGAGACGCCATCTTGGTTACTGTAATAAATATTAAAATTTTAAACGAGAGCCTAATTTTATATTATATCTGATGCAAACTTTATTAAAGAATTGCCTGATCATCGAGATAATAAGAAAGTAAGTTATCAATTTAATATTAGTTTTTAACATGAAAATAATTATTATAAAGGTTACCAAAATGGCGGGTCCAGCTGATTTGCTTTTAACGACGCTTAAAAATGCATTTTAATGAATGAATCGTCAGTCTAGGTATTATTATATGTCATTGATAATTGGGAAATATTAATGCAATAAAAAAAAATTTGATATCAAAACTGTTTCATATTATTAAATATTTTATACAATGGTATATAATCCCAGTGAAATCATTTTTATCTTTTAAAATGATATGTGATTATCTTATCATTTATTTCCCTAAGGCTTCTAGATTTGATATTGAATTACTAGAAAAAAAACGTCTACAACAAAGTAGACCAAAATTATTTTAAAAAAATATCAATTGGTTTAGGCCTTTGCATCTAAATATGGAGAGGCATTAAAATTTCGGTGTTTGCAATTTATTTTAAAAATCCCATATTCGAAATCTAGTTGAACCATAATTTGATTCAATCAATTGTGTTTATAGAAAATCAATGGACTAAAGTTTATTTTTTAAGTAGTGTTAGCAAAAATCATGATTATTATTATTATTTTTTTAAATCGATTTTTTTTGATTTAAATCACTATTTAACCAAATAAAAATAATTCATATTTTAATTAAAGAATTATAGGGTAAGATTGTAAAATATCATTTTTTTATAAAAAATAGCTTAATATTATCTTGCAAGTAGAGATATAATGCCCAATGGAATAAGTCAGAAATTTGTTGAAAAATTAAATAATAATATGCTGTAATTTGATATTTATTACAAATAAAGAGCCGATTATATAGGCCTTGGTTGAAAATTTCATTTTGGTATGGGATTATATCTATATAGATCCGTTTGTAAACGCACAATTCATTGCGATTGCCGTATAATTCAAACATCAAATATCACCTATAAAAAACAGGGAACTTAGGCGATATATTTTTAAAACTTTAGGTAAAGCTAACAATCACTGGAGATCCTAAAGAAAATTTAAAACTAAGAAAAAGAATATCTCTCTAGATATGTAGATCTCATTTTATCTCCATCCTCGGATGAAAGCCTAACAACATATCCTTTTAATTACCCCTCCCTGTTTTTTAATATTTTAGTTAATACAATTTTTAATATACATTTTTTTAAATATATATTTATTCTTTATTTTTTTTTTTTTTTACTAAATAACTTTTTGTATATTTTTTTTAAAAGTTTTGAATTGAAAATTTAATAAAAACATTTTAATTTTTTTTTTAAAAAAAAAAAATTAATTTAACATAATAAATTATAATTATATTTTAGGAAATTTTTATTCTTATAGTGTACTGGGTAAAATGAAAAAGCTTGTCCGATTAAGATTTTAACCAAAATAACGTTACGTATGCCTAAAGATTTTGCACATAGCTGTTAGAAATGCTTGGGCATCTCTCTGCCGAATCTCCATCCTTACATAATATATTTTAGCTAAAATCATAATCGGGCCGTTTTGAAAAATCGACCCAAATCGGACCTTTTAACAACACTAGTCGGGATTGGATAACTATCCATAATAATTATAAATTTTAATATAACTCGGAAAAGATGCTTCGATTAAGTAATAACATCTCAGTTTTTTTTTCTGTCATTGTTCGGATTTCTGAAATGACAAATATTTAAAAAATAATTATTCCGAACTTTTTCCATGGAAATTTGCATCTTATGAATATACCATTAAATATTTACATTTAATAAATACCAGAGCCCCCGTTGGTCAGCTATGCTGTTCACTCCCCACCGCGTGAAGGTGGGAGATGGATTTTAGAGGAGCATAGAATGAGAAGAAAGAACGAATAAAAAAAGAAAGAAATAGAGGAGAGAAAGAAAGATATGAAAGAAGAATTCAAAAAAAATATATATATAAAAAATTTTTTTTAATTAAATAAAAATTTGGCTTTAAAGTAGAAATCATTCTCATAAATGGTTTTAATTTAGTTTCATTATTAAATTCAAAAATAACTTAGCTTTAACTTAGAGGTTAAGGTAGACCAAATAAAGAAATAGAAAAGTGCATAATCTCTGAGGATTAAGGTTTAGAATTTTAAATGCTAGAACCCATTCTTCCATTACTGAACAGCTTAAAGTAAATAATACCAGATACGACGCATATTGTCAAACTCCAAAGTCAGGCAGTATAATATATAATGGAGTAAATCTTAGAAAAGTAGCAAAATAACAATTAACTCAAAAAATAAGCCCATGATGGTACTATTTGAAATTTAGCTTAGTTAACTCAGCGCTCAAAGCTCTACAGCATAGCATAGCATAGCAAAAAGAATTATTAGCAAACAACAAAATGCTAAGCAACCCAAAATATTAACTCACGTAAAAGCTAAAGCAATTCAAAGTTACAAAACTAATGTTAAGCATGTGCTACATATAACAGCCTCACAAATCCAAGCAACTCAAAACTTAACCGCCTCAAAAAAATAATTCTTTTACAAGTAACTTAGTACTAATTAGAGCAAAGTTATGAATAAACAGGTGTATCCAAAACTAAGAGGTTCAAGGTCAATCAACTCAAATACCAAAATAAACCAACCCATGAATGAGCAGCGACAGGCTATAAAAGCCAAGCTAAGCTAAAATTCCTAGAAGTATGCAAAAAAACGACGAAAGTAAGATACAACTGCAATATAAAAGCTAAAAGTATGTTTGGCTAAGCAACTTAAGAAATAAACCCATGTCAATAAATCTCTTAAACAGTCTAAAAAAAATTAGTAACTCAAAGTTCAAAGCTATAAATTCTTTGAAAATATTTAAAATGCTAAGCAAAATATTAGCCCATATCAAAGATACACAAAACTTAGCTTCCCACATAGCAACTCAGAGCTTAACTACTCAAAGAAAAGAATTCTTTATAGGCAACTCAGAGCTAATTATCAAAGCCAAGATAGACATAAACAAGTAACCAAAATCATGTAGTTCGAAGTTAATCAACTCAAATGCCATATCCTACTATTTAATGACTGAGGAGCTAAATGAGAAACTTAAAGCTAACACAGAGCCAAACAAGCCAAATGCCTAGAAGTATTGCAAAATAACAAAGCTTATGTAACAACACAACAACCGCGAACATCAAATCTTGAAACATGTTTAGTTAAGCAACAAATATTAAGAGAAAATTAACAAAGTATATTAAACAGTTTCAATATAAAACTATAACATAGAAAGATTAATGATAACAAATCACACAGATTAGGCAACGCAAAACAATATATCAGAAAAAAATCTAGAAAAATTGTTCAAATCATAGTTTCACAAGGTTAGGCCCTCAAAGCTTAATTACTCAAAGTCAAGGTCTTCACTATGCGCAACTCAAAACAGTACCGGAGCCTGATATGAAATAACCCGTCATGAGGATCTATGCTAAGCATCAAAAATGCCAAAAACTTACCTGATTACCTTGCACCTAAAGGACCAGCAACTCAAGGCTGGACTCAAAGCCAAGAAGCATACCCTCTATTCCTGAAGCTTGGCTAGCCAGGGGCTTTCCAATACGCTACTCAAAGCCATGTACCATAGCCTTACATGAATAGATAAGTAATGCAAAGTTGTGAGGATCGACGTTAAGCAACTCAAATGTCTTAACTTTCCACCGCATTTCTCTGCAGAAGCTATCTATGAGGCTAATAACTCCAGCCGA